CTACACTGACGTTACTTATATTAGAGTTAGTTAGTTATTATCTAGTTATTTATCAACATTTTACTTAAGCGTTTTGGCTGTGCACACTCATAACTTAAATCCTGGCAAAACACGGCGTTCCCGCTTCACCACACAGATTTAACCAAGGGACTTTGATTTAACTCCGCCCAGCTATATAAATCAGGCTGGGTGAAGATTAATATTTCGGAAATAAATATTTCTGTGAAATGCGTTAGGTTGCACAGAATTCAATTTTCAATTCAATTCAAGTTTATTTGTATAGCGCTTTTCACGATATTAATTATTGCAAAGCAGCTTTACAGAAACTTCCGAGTTAGTTTTTCTCCATTTGCGCTCAATTCTACGAGTTTCTTTCTTGAGAGAATGGGTATTACTGTTGTTCCATGGTGCAGTATGTTTTTCTCTAACCTTTTTCAATTTGATGGGGGCAACAGCTTCTAATGTATTAGAGAAGATAGTGCCCATGTTGCTAGTCATTTCGTCTAGTTCATGTGTACTTATTGGTACACAGAGCAGTTGAGATAAATCAGGCAGGTTATTTGTGAATCTGTCTTTGGTGGCTGGAACAATAGTTCTGCCCTGACGATAACGCGGAGCCATATAGTTAGTATCAGTAATATGCAGCATGCACGATACAAGGAAATGGTCATTAACATCATCACTTTGAGGTACGATATCTATATCAGTAAGATCGATTCCATGTATATATATATGTATATATAGATATAATTAAATCTAGCGTATGATTAAAACGATGAGTGGGCCCGGTGACGTTTTGCTTGACTCCAGAAGAGTTTATTAGGCCAGTAAATGCAAGTCCTAATGCATCATTTGTATTATCAACGTGAATGTTAAATCTCCGACAATTAGTGCTTTATCAACATTTACCAAGGTCTGAGAGGAAATATGCTAATTATTTTAGGAAATCTGTATACGGCCCTGGCGGTCTTTACACAGTAGCCAGAGCAAGAGATACAATAGATTTATTTTGCATATCTGACAGTTTAACATTAAGCAGAAGTATTTCGAATGAGTTAAACCTGTATGCTGTCTTCTGAGTAACATTGAGAATATCACTATATATTGTTGCAACACCGCCGCCACGACCAGTCTGACGGGGCTCATGCTTATAACAGTAGCTTGGTGGAGTAGACTCATTTAGACCAATATAATCATTAGGTTTTAGCCAGGTTTCAGTCAAGCAGAGTACATCAAAACGATTATCTGTGATCATTTCATTTACAATAACTGCTTTGGGTGAGAGTGATCTAATGTTTAGGAGCCCAAACTTTAAAAATTGTTTTTGTTCATTTATTTTACATTTTTCTGGTTTAATCACGATCATCACGATAAGATATCCTGCATTAAATTTATATTTTGACCTCACTATTCGGGGAACAGACACAGTCTTTATAGTCTTTATAGAACAAGTACTTCTATCATTTAAGCGGGTAGAACAAAAGTCATCAGGGCAGTCATTTGAGAATTGGCTTACTAGTTATATGGTGCGTAGCGTCCTGGAGATGTTGTCCGACATGAGTTCCGCTCCGACTCTGCTGGGGTGCAGGACATCAGCGCGAAAAAGCCTAGGACGCTCCCAAAAAAGATTCCAATTATTAACAAAGAGCAGTTTCTGTTCTTAACACCATGACAATAACCATTCATTTAAAGCAAAAAGTCTACTGAACCTTTCATGTCCTCGTCGATACGTGGGAAGCGGTCCTGACCAGAAAAGATTAACAAAGAGCAGTTTCTGTTCTTTACACCATGACAATAACCATTCATTTAAAGCAAAAAAAGCAAAAAGCCTTTCATGTCCTCGTCGATACGTGGGAAGCGGTCCTGACACGATGATCGTCGTCGCGGGCGATGTGCGGCGCACCGTCTCGATCAGGCTCCTGAAGTCCCTCTTCAGTGTCTCCGTCTGCCGCAGCTTGGTGTCGTTAACCCCCCCGTGAAGCACGACCGCTCCGGGGCTCTCGTCGCCCTTCAGGATCGCGGGTATCTGCGCAGAAACATCGAGAACACGAGCACCAGGGAAACAGTGAGTGTGCACTTTACCTTCAGCCAGGGCCGGGTCTAGGGGGGGGCTAGGGGGGGCAATGCCCCCCCAGATTCTCCTTGTGCTCCCCCAAAAAAATGTCCAGCCAAAAAAATAAATAAATAGAAAATAAGCATTAAACACTTATTATTTGTACTATCTAAATAAGGATCAGTCACTTTGTTCAAAGGAATGACAATAGTAAACACTAATTTTCCAGTTAAAGACAGTTCATCATTGAATTCAGTGATGTCTTCATTCAGCTCAGTTCAGTTTAAATAGTATCTTTGCAATCATTTGCAATCAAGTCAACAATATCGCTGGAAATGAAGTGTCCCCAACTAAGCAAGCCAGAGGCGACAGCGGCAAGGAACCAAAACTCCATCGGTGACAGAATGGAGAAAAAACCTTGGGAGAAACCAGGCTCAGTCGGGGGGCCAGTTCTCCTCTGGCCAGACCAAACCAGCAGTTCAATTTCAGGCTGCAGCAAAGTCACATTGTGCAGAAGACTCATCTGGTTCCTGTGGTCTTGTCCCGGTGGTCGTCTGAGACAAGGTCTTTACAGGGGAATAACATCTGTATCTGGTGTTCATCTAGTTGTCCTGGTCTCCGCTGTCTTTCAGGGCTGTAGAGGTCCTCTCTAGGTGCTGATCCACCATCTGGTCTGAATACGTACTGGATCCGGGTGACTGCAGTGACCATCTGATCTGGATACAGACTGGATCTGGTGGGTTGTTTCAGGGTTGGCATCATCTGAGGTCCTCTGAGGGGTTGGCATCATCTCTTCTCAGGTGTTCTGGATCCAGACTGAAGCTTGTGTAAATCCTAGTTACCACGGGATGTCAATCCTGTGGCAAAAACAGAGAAACAAATAGGGACATAATTAGCGTAGCTGCTGTTCCAACCAAGCAAAATTTATTTGTTTAACCCAAACTAAAGAATAATAATGTGCATTTGATCAGATATAACTGCAGTACAAGATTATGATATGCATTATTTGAATGCTTGGCCAAAGAGATGTGTCTTTAATCTAGATTTAAACAGAGAGAGTGTGTCTGAACCCCGAACGTTATCAGGAAGGCTATTCCAGAGTTTGGGAGCCAAATGCGAAAAAGCTCTACCTCCTTTAGTGGACTTTGCTATCCTAGGTACTACCAAAAGTCCAGAGTTTTGCGACCTTAGGGAGCGTGATGGATTGTAGCGTGGTAGAAGACTAGTTAGGTACGCAGGAGCTAGCCCATTAAGGGCCTTATAGGCAAGTAATAATATTTTGTAACTGATACGGAACTTAATAGGTAGCCAGTGCAGAGACTGTAAAATTGGGGTAATATGATCATATTTTCTTGACCTGGTAAGGACTCTAGCCGCTGCATTTTGGACTACCTGTAGCTTGTTTATTGAGGATGCAGGACAACCACCTAGCAGTGCATTACAATAGTCCAGTCTAGAGGTCATGAATGCATGAACTAGCTTTTCTGCATCAGAAACAGGTAACATATTTCGTAGTTTGGCAATGTTTCTAAGATGGAAGAATGCTGTTTTTGTAACATGGGAAATATGATTTTCAAAAGACAAGTTGCTATCTAATATAACACCCAGATTTTTGACTGTAGAGGAAGTAACTGTACATCCGTCTAGTTGCAAATTGTAATCCACGAGATTCTGTGTACTGTCTTTTGGTCCAATAAGTAATATCTCTGTCTTATCCGAGTTTAATAGGAGAAAATTATTGGTCATCCAATCTTTTACATTTTTAACACATTCTGTTAGCTTAGATAATTTAGAAGTTTCATCTGGTCTTGTTGAGATATATAGTTGAGTATCATCTGCATAACAGTGGAAGCTAATCCCGTATTTTCTAATAATATTACCAAGGGGCAACATGTATATCGAAAATAGCAGAGGACCTAGGACAGATCCTTGTGGCACTCCATATTTTACTGGTGATAATTGAGATGACTCCCCATTTAAATGAACAAGGTGGTAGCGATCGGACAGGTAGGATCTAAACCATCTTAAAGCCTGCCCTTGAATACCTGTATAGTTTTGTAATCGATCTATGAGTATGTCATGATCTATAGTGTCGAACGCAGCACTAAGATCAAGTAAAACTAGCAATGAGATACAGCCTTGGTCTGACGCAAGAAGCAAGTCATTTGTAATTTTAACAAGTGCAGTTTCTGTGCTATGGTGGGGCCTGAAACCTGACTGAAATTCTTCATAGAGATCATTTTTTTGCAGGAAGGAGCGCAATTGTGCAGACACAACTTTTTCTAAAATTTTTGACATAAAAGGAAGATTTGAGATGGGTCTGTAATTTGCCAGTTCACTAGGATCTAGTTGTGGTTTCTTAATAAGAGGCTTAATAACCGCCAGCTTGAATGGTTTTGGGACGTGACCTAAAGACAACGACGAGTTAATAATATTGAGAAGCGGTTCTTCTGCTACAGGTAACAACTCTTTCAGTAATTTAGTGGGTACAGGATCTAACAGGCATGTTGTTGGTTTAGATGCAGTGATAAGTTTATTTAGCTCTTCCTGTCCTATAGTTGTAAAGCACTGCAGTTTATCTTTTGGTGCGATGAATGAAGCTGAAGTATTATACGCTGTAGAATCTACATTTGTTATTGTATTTCTGATGTTATCTATTTTATCAGTGAAGAAATTCATAAAGTCATTACTATTAAACTGTGAGGGAATATTTAGATCGGGTGGCGTCTGGTTATTTGTTAATCTAGCCACTGTGCTAAATAAAAACCTTGGATTGTTTTGGTTATTTTCTATGAGTTTGTGGATATGCTCGGCCCTGGCAGCTTTTAGAGCCTGTCTATAGCTGGACATACTGTTTTTCCACGCAATTCTAAAAACTTCCAAGTTAGTTTTTCTCCATTTGCGCTCAAGACTACGAGTTTTTTTCTTGAGAGAATGGGTATTACTGTTGTACCATGGCGCAGTACGTTTTTCTCTAACCTTTTTCAATTTGATGGGGGCAACAGCTTCTAATGTATTAGAGAAGATAGTGCCCATGTTGCTAGTCATTTCGTCTAGTTCATGTGTACTTATTGGTACATAGAGCAGTTGAGATAAATCAGGCAGTTTATTTGTGAATCTGTCTTTGGTGGCTGGAACAATAGTTCTGCCCTGACGATAAGGCGGAGCCATGTAGTTAATATCAGTAATACGCAGCATGCACGATACCAGGAAATGGTCAGTAACATCATCACTTTGAGGTACGATATCTATATCAGTAAGATCAATTCCATGCGATATAATTAAATCTAGCGTATGATTAAAACGATGAGTGGGCCCGGTGACGTTTTGCTAATGCATCATTTGTATTATCAACGTGAATGTTAAAATCTCCGACAATTAGCGCTTTACCGACAGTAACCAATAGGTCTGAGAGGAGATCTGCAAATTCTTTTAGGAAATCTGTATATGGCCCTGGTGGTCTATACACAGTAGCCAGAGCAAGAGATACGATAGATTTCTTTTGCATATCTGACAGTGTAAGAGTTAGCATTAGTATTTCGAATGAGTTAAACCTGTATCCTGTCTTCTGAGTAACATTGAGAATATCACTATATATTGTTGCAACACCGCCGCCACGACCAGTCTGACGGGGCTCATGCTTATAACAGTAGCTTGGTGGAGTAGACTCGTTTAGACCAATATAATCATTTGGTTTGAGCCAGGTTTCAGTCCAGCAGAGTACATCAAAACTATTATCTGTGATCATTTCATTTACAATAACTGCTTTGGGGGGCGAGTTATCTAATGTTTAGGAGCCCAAAATTTAAAAATTGTTTTTGTTAATTTATTTTGCATTTTTCTGGTTTAATCACGATCAGATTTTTTTTTTCTAAAGCCTCCATTACATTTTTATTTTGACCTCACTATTCGGGGAACAGACACAGTTTTTATAGATTGGACAGCACAAGTACTTCTATCATTTAAGCGGGTAGAACACAAGTCATCAGGGCAGTTATTTGAGATTTGACTTACTAGTCATATGGTGCGTAGCTTTGGTTTGAGCCAGGTTTCAGTCCAGCAGAGTACATCAAAACTATTATCTGTGATCATTTCATTTACAATAACTGCTTTGGGGGGCGAGTTATCTAATGTTTAGGAGCCCAAAATTTAAAAATTGTTTTTGTTAATTTATTTTGCATTTTTCTGGTTTAATCACGATCAGATTTTTTTTTTCTAAAGCCTCCATTACATTTTTATTTTGACCTCACTATTCGGGGAACAGACACAGTTTTTATAGATTGGACAGCACAAGTACTTCTATAATTTAAGTGGGTAGAACAAAAGCCATCATAGCAGTTATTTGAGAATTGGCTTACTAGTCGAGTGTAGAAAGCCCAATCTAGGACCTGCCCCGTACAGTTTAAGAATCGGTACTGCTAGGAACAACTGATGATGTCACAGGTTCAGATTTGGTTGACCAATCGGCGGAACGGGGCGTGTCATGACCTTTTTCTACTAGATTTTTTGAACAAACGAAAAAACAAATTGAAAAACAATTATCAAAACGTACACGGACCATCCTCGCTCAGATATCTGTCTGTTGTTTGTTGTCAACAAACGTACACTGAATTTTATTTCTTTTAAGAACATTAAATATTATGAGTCCCTTACATAATACATAATGATACAGGTACTTTTAAGTAATTTTTTTTCTTCTTCTTTTTTTTTTCTAGTAATAAAAAAAAAAAAAAAACTTAAGGCAAACTTTGCATTTATTTATTTATTTTTTGTTACAAATACTCACATTAAGAATATTCACCCTTACCCCATACTGAACCGTACCAAAACCGCAATACATACCAAACCGTAAGAAACTTTAACCATTACACCCCTAATTAAATACTAATGCATTTCCTTATTTTCAGGTTACACAGAGAGTGAAGATGAACTGAGGTTTGTGCTGCTGGGAAAAACTGGAGCTGGGAAGAGTGCAACAGGAAACACCATCTTAGGAGGAGCTGCGTTTAAAGCAGAAACATCTCAAGAGTCAGTTACTAAAAAGAATCAGAGAGAATCATCCGACATCAACGGCCGGTGTGTTACTGTGATCGACACTCCAGGACTGTTCGATACTGAACTGAGTAATGAGGAGGTCCAGAAGGAAATCAGCAACTGCATCCCCATGATCCTGCCTGGTCCGCATGTGTTCATCATTGTGCTCAATGTAGGACAAAGATTCACTCAAGAGGAGGCAATAACTGTGAAGATCATCCAAGAGACGTTTGGTGAACACTCTCTAATGTTCACCATGGTGCTCTTCACCAGAGGAGATGATCTGAAGGACAAAACCATTGATCAGTGTTTGGGAAAACCTGGATCTCCTTTGATGAACCTTGTGGAAGCGTGTGGAAACAGATACCATGTGTTCAATAATAATAATCAGACTGGAGACCGAACACAGGTGACTGATCTACTGCAGAAGATAGACGCCATGGTGGCAGCAAATGGAGGGAGTTTCTACTCATGTAAGATGTTCAGAGAGATGGAAAGAAAACAACAAGAGCAAGAGATGAAGATCCTAATGGAAACATTGGAGCAACTGAACCGAGAAAAAGAAGAACTGACGAAGAAACTAGAAGAAGAGACCGAAAGAATGACGATGATGATAGAGGAAGAAAGACAGAATCATGACAAAGAGATAAAGAGACGAGAAGAAGAATTCCGAGAGACCGAAGAGAGATATAAAAGAGAACTCAAGGAACAGGAGATGCAGATGAAAGATGAGATGAAAAGAGAGCGAGAGATGCTTAGAGATGAAATTAAGGACAGGAGACAAGAAAAAGACAATCTACAGACCAAATACGACAAAGAAATAGACAGAATGATGAACAGAATAGAGAATGAAAGACAGTATCACAAGGAAGAGAGAGAGAGAAAAGTAAGCGAGCTTAATGAGAGAAAAGAACAATATAAAATAGAGACGAGGAGAGAACGAGAGCAATGGGAGAGACTGAAACTAGAGGAACAGACGAGAAGAGAAGAAGAAGATGAGAAAGCAAAACAGGCTTTAGATGAACGATACCAGAGACTCCAGAGTGAAACGAAGGGAATAATCAGGGAAAAAGAGAGAATAGAAAGAGAGAGACGAGGACAACAAGAGGATTTGGAGAAGAGACTGGATGAAGAAAGAAACGTAAGAGAAAACCAACAAAAGTCTTTTGACGGAATCCTGAAACTCCTCGAAGAACAGTATCAAGATAAGCTTGAAAGAAGACTTGAGGAAGAAGTGAAGTGGAGAAAATTGTATGAAAGAGAGAAAGAAGAGATTAAGATCTGCTCTGAAATCGATGCTTCACGACAGGTGAGTTTTCATGAACCTTTCGTAATAGCGTTTTCAATAGGAATAACTCTTTACAGTAGTAACAAGGCTTTCTTTACCCAATGATTTGTGTTGGTTTCAATTACAAAAGGTCACGGCCTACAGAAAACTGGAGGCCGAATACAAGAAATGGTCCTGGAGTCTTTACAGTGCCATGACGGAAACCGAGATCAAAATACTCAACCAGATAGAAAACGAAGGGATCCGCAAGGTTGAGGAAACTGATCTTCAAAGAGACTTGAAGGAGACGAGTGAAGAATTGAAAAAATCTATGTCGGAATTCTTCGAGAACGACAGAGATGCAGATATACTGATTCGGTGGAAGACATCATTTGAAATCCAACTCCGAGTGCTTGAGGAAAACATCGTGAGAGAAACGAAGCAGAAATTCAATGAGATTCTTCAGCAGCGTAACCTGAAGACTGTCGATCACTGCAATCATCCAAAAAACACTGTCTATGAAAAGAGCAAAGAACTCGCCCTAAAACTCAAAGGCAAAGCAAAAGATGAAGAAACTCTGAAGAAGGAGTTCGATTGGTTTTGGGAAAAGTGTGTGGTGAAGCTCATCAGAAACACTCACTGGCTCAAAGACATGGACATCATGAGAGATGTAAATCTCGTTCTTGGTGACATCTATAAAAGTTCTCCTGTGTATAAACTGAAACAGAGCAATGGGTACAACGATATTTTCAACATGACAAGTTATCCCGAGTGTGCTATTTTCAAAAAGCCCTCAATAAAAGGGATTCAAGTGTCTCAAACTCTCAAAAAGCTGTCTGCAAAGGATGACGCTCCAATAAGAAAGTTCCTCATTGATGTCGGTCAGCAGACAGACATAATGTTTCAGTCGTTCAACATTTCAAAGACGGGCTACAACATCAGCTGCATTCAACAACTCACACGTTTTATCATCGAGAGAGTGACCAAATATCAGGAAGCACGAGGGAAATACGTGTTCACGGATGAATTCATCATGGATTTGGTTTATTCCATCTGTAAGCGCATTAACATGACGATCGCTGACCCTGTAAACTATGTTGAGAAGCAGAGATCGGAGTACTACAGAGTTTTCCAGAAATACTGTCGTGAAGCTGCATCAGCTGCTGTTTTTGCTCAGAACATCTGTCAGAAACTCATAGAGGCCATTGAGCGGAGCGTCTACAAGAAGACTGCAGCTGACCTGGCAGACGAAATGAGAACAAACTGTCCATCACTGAATGAAAACAGGTCAAATCTGGAGAAGCACATCCTGACAACACTGGCAGAAAATGAGAATTTTTCTACATGCATGAACTACAACCCCAAAAACCCAGAGATTGGATATGAAGTCGGTCGATACATCACTGATCATTTCACTGTCAGTGTTTTACCCAAGTTGAAGGAAAATAGTGAATCACTGCAGCAGAACATCATGGAGAAAGCATGTGAATCTACTTTGTATTTTCAAGTGAAATGTGTTGATGCTGGTTTGTGGTTGAAGCATTTCACACAGCAGCTCTCAGATATGCTGGTCTTCTCTGAAGTAGACCTCAGCGGCGTCGAACATGATGCTGTTGATGATTTCCACCTCCTCGTTGATGTGCTAAGGCATGAGCTTTCTGCTGTAATGTCTGAGATCAGCAGGAGATTCGGCATCAGAGCTCTTCCAGAAAATGTGGACTTAAAGTTAACTGGGGATTCTCAGTGCTGATATTTACACATATATTGGTGACAAGTGGTCAGGATTTTTCTACACTAGATATGAAGGAGGAGCTTGTGACCTCTGACCTCTCTGATCGGCCTTACTGCACTCTAAAAAATGCTGGGTTAAATACAACCCAGTGCTGGGTAAAATAGGGACAAACCCAGCACTTGGGTTGTTTTGACCCAGCGGTTGGGTTACTTGTTT